AGCCGCACCAGAATTGTCCAGGAAAAAAAGCTCCCAGAATACAATTGAGCAAAAACAAAAACAAAAAATTTAAAAAAATTAAGGAGGCTGCCCCTTTAAGACAGCCACCATCTTGGGTGACATTTTTAAAACCCCGCAGCTCCAACCCAGTAAGCACAGGGAAGGCTTTGTACCAGTCAGTTCCCAAGCGTGCTGGACTAGAGAGGTTTAACCTGTACTTATATCAACCACAGAAGTACAGGATAAATCAGAGTAAAGCAAGCCTATGAAGCAAGTCAAAATACTATAGGTATTAGACAAAAATATTGACAAATTACCTAAAATATGAAAATTTTACTTTAAAATGCCATTTAATTCTTAGGCGGGGGAAGTTGGAATGTAAGGGATTTACTGTGCCAAATAGTGATTAAAGTGCGTTTCACATAACCAAGAGATACACGCTTCAATTAAAAAAATTCCAGCACTTTCAGACCAAAGACAGTAAATAAAAAGCCTCTTCAAGACGTCACAGCTTTTCTCCCACGGTGTGTCAGAAAACCAATGTTTGTCTCCAGCTGAATCTTTAACTACTACACAGCATTCTTGATTTGGAATTCCTGTACAGTTTGCATATTTATAAAATCTTCAGATTTGTTTATATTCAGTCTTTTAAAAAAGTTCTGACATTGTACATATCCTGGGTTCAATAGCATAACTACTATCTTCTTATAGATAGTAAGCAAGCTGTTTCATTCTGAATTGTCATTTCACCACCACCACCACCAACAAAAAAACTTGAAAATAATTTGAAAAATTAAGGGCAAATGATTAAGTTGGAGTATTTACTGGTATTTGTTAAGAGTCATTGTTTGGAAATCAGAAATCTGACTAATCAAGGCTGTGACCATGTAGGAATTCAGGTTGCAACACAGGTCAGGATTTCAGACTTATGTACAGGACTCCTTACAAGTGTTTTCCATTACTACACACAAACTTGTCAAACAAAGTCTTACCATTTGCTTCAATTAGTCTCATTGAATCTATTTTCATATCTATACAAGGGAAATTAATACACAGTATTTCACCGGCTCTGAATATGTATTGGCATTTGAAATCTGTTATATCATTTCAGGCAATAGAGATAGTCAAAATTCCTAAATAAAACACAAGGACAACAGTTTGAGAGCTAATTAAATTATTTTACATTTAAATCTTATTTTAATTACCCTGAATCTTTCTTTAATGAAAATAGGATATTTTCCCCCTATTAACTAACTTGTCCAACATACTAAATTGTATATGAATAAAGAAAGTTAGAAATCTTCTCTTTATTGTGAAAAAAAATGCAATTTCCATGTAGATTCAGGTTGATACTTACAATTTGCTGCTTTTTCTATATTCCTATTAGCATCGTTGATTCCTTTTTGTATTTCATCCAGCCAGAGAACTGGTGATTCATCATGTGATCCCTGGGGCAGATTAATAGAAAAATATTTACAGAACAGAAAACACAAGTCAATCTGAAAATACACACTATTAAAGCATCAATAAATAAATAGAAAGCTCTTCTGAAAGCCTGAGGGGATACTAAAGAGAATTTGGCTATATGAATCTGGCAATTAATACAAATAAAAGAAAAAAATTAATCTATTTTTCATAACAAAATGCAAAGTATCATTTAACATCTGAAAGCTCGGATCATTTTTATTCCACCAAAGAAAGATGTAGATTTCTGAATAAAGTTAAAGACAATTCAATATCCATAATTCACCAATCAACAAAGGAACAGAAGAATTCAGTAAGACCACTAGACAACAATATGATTTCCCCAAGGACAGCATAAATCCAAAAGAAGTTTACAAAAAAAGTTAAGAGCTTTGAAAGAATAGTTAACTGGAAACCATGTATATGGCAATATTCCCAGTGACTTCAATGGGGACAGGCCCAAGCCAAGGACAGTTTCTGCCTTCCTGTTATATTGGGATGAAAAATCCTCCTGTGCAGACAAAAAAAAAAAAAAAAAAAAAAAAAAAAATAAAAAAAAGAAGAAGACCTAAAAAATTGTCAGTATGAACTTTATAGAAAGAAAGCTCAGATTTAGTAATGCCAAAATTGCTTTAGTTTCCTGAATTGTTTGAGAACATGAATTAAGGACGAGGGCAGGCATTTTTCATTAAAATCTACCAGTTATCAAATTTTACCTCGTATGCAATACACTTCTTTTGTGCACCCCCATTTGCAGTCCAAGCTTACGGCATTTGGAGGTTTAAATGCCTAAATACACAGACAAACTGAAACAGCAGACACGATTTAACACAGAATTATGGGCACAAAAGAGGAGATCTTACCAAGATCAGACTGAAGTTAAACTCAATTAAGGTGTTCTTAGTGCATTCATCACCAAAGTAACTGTGCACGGAAAATCTAGGATGGTGTGTTTCACCCAATTTCTAGCATGCACATCTTAAGTTTTGGGTACAAGAGAAGCAGAAATGCGAGAGGATACTCCTGCCAGTGATCAGCTTAAAAAGCGGTAGATGGTACTGCAGGGAAGATTGCTGTAGGGGGTATTTAAATAGCTTCAGTGTGCAGGAATCGAAGTCCACACCTATTAACAACTGTATGTGAAAAGCAGACATAACAGTAAAGAGAGGAAATAGGCTGTGTGAAAGCTCTTTTGTTATAAATGTGAAACATATTTGTGTGGTAAGTGTGACAAGACATCTATCCATGCGCAACATATGTATGTTTTTGATTGGCAGTTATACATGAATTTTCTTATCGTGAAGTGTATTTGATGCTGATAATAGAGAACAGAATAAACTGATAGTGAAAAATCCTTAAATGGCAGAAGAAAAAAAAAATCAACCTCTCGTTTAGTTACTGTAATGTTTTTCTCTTCTTCTCCACCACAAGTTTGTTATGAAATTTTACAGCAAAAACAACTGTAAGCTTGTAGAATGCATTGCTGTTTGCTTTTTTCTTTATAAAATTACAACAATCTCACATTAGTCTCAGTATTTTAATTCCAGCATCCAGTTCAACGATTTTTGAACCAAACAAACTTTTAATTAACTCATAGTACACTTTACTTCCTACGAACTGTAATGTTAGGCACAAGCTATGAAGGACAAAGATTTCTGAATACAAATGCCTTAGAGAATCAACTATACCTCAGACTCATTAGGAGGTGTATGCTGCAGCTATTACAAATGAAAATTACATTGCTTAAAAGAGTACTATTGAATGATGAGTCAGTATTAAGGGTCACTGAATTTCAGCTAGAACCTTGGGATTGGGGAGTAAGGACTGGAATATAATTCCCATGGTTGCAATTTTCCTCAAGAATTATAGTGCTGGTAAACATACAACTCCTGGGCCAGATGATAATTTGTTCACTTAACCTTACCAGTAAGATAGGTGGCAACCAACATTGCACAGCATTTTGCAGTTGCCTGCTGAAAGCTGTCATGTGACACACAGGAAGCTTTAAAAAAATAATGTTTGTTCGTTCATGAGTAGGAACTGCTTAAACAAAGCAGATGGGACATGAACGACAGCCTATAGTACACAATGTCAACTGATGACTACTGGGCCGATGACAAGCTAGAATGGAGCGCTGAGAGTCTGGGGGTATGTTTACACTGCAGAGTTTTGTCGGAAAAACAGCCATTTTTCTAACAAAACCTGAGTTAAGTCCACGCAGTAATTGTGTTCTTCCGAAAGTAAGTCAAAAGAACAAAGGGTTTTTTCCGGCATTGGTAATCCTCTTTGAGGAAGAAGCCTTTTCCGAAAAAGCTCTTTCAGAAAAAGGCGTATGTGGACGGGGATGAGGGAGCTCTTTTGAAAGAGGAGGAAAGAGGAAAAAACACAGATGCCCTTGTGGCCACTCTGTCCATAATAATCATAGCTTAAATGTGAAATAGCATCCATTCAGTGTGGACGCTATCCCTCGAAAAAGCAGATTGCTTTTTCAATGCGCTTTGGGTGCGAATGTAGGGATAACATATTAAAGTATTAAAAATGATTCCCCCAAGTGGAAGTGACTCCCCATAATTTGTTCCCCACAACTAAAAGTCTAAGTAGTATAAGTTTGTTAAGTAGAAGAAGCATATAAAAGTGTTTAGATTTATTCTTGTTAAAGTGCTTAGATTTAGTGTTATCAAGCTTGATAAGTGTTTAGATTTATTATTATTATTATTATTATTAGTTAAGATTGTTAAATGTTTAGATTTATAATTATTGCCCCTCTAGAATATAATTTGTTAGGAATGTAATATTAGGTCATGCAACTTAAAACTGTTAAAAATATAATACTATGTAGCCAAAAACAGCTCCCCTCTCTGTGTCCCAGGGCGCACACAAACTTTTGCAAGTGGCTGCTTGTCAAGACACTAACTACTCTGCTCTGGGAGCCAAGCCCTGTAATTGACTAAGGGCCTTCTCTTCAAAGCATTGTAAAGCAATTAACCCTAATCGCAAAGTGAAACATTGTAACTATAACAGTAACTAACTCAGCAATCAAAGAATGTTTTAAGAAATGCCACCCAGAAACTTTTGTAACTTTTTGTAACTACAACTCTTGTACATGTAAAATTATTATTATACAAAATACTGTATGTGAAACATTAATTAGGGAATGTATGTAAGAGAGAGTGCTTGGACAATGAATGAATGGTTTGAGAGGTGCCAGCCTGAGAATGCAGCATCAAAGGGCTGAAGAAGGCATCAGGTGCCAGTGCAACCAAAAGGTGTCAAGTGGAGAAAAACTGGAGACTGGAGGTCCACCCTATGAGATCACTGACAAGCACCTGGCAGCCACCCTGAAGACATCAGCATGATGCAGCAATTCCCATAGACTGGAATAGGAAGAAATTCCTGTAAAGATTGGACCAAAAGACTATGGAGTCAGAGTCCAAAATTCTGCTGCCAGTCCACCAGGAGCTTCAGATGCGCATCTGATCAGGACTTCGCTCCCCACTACCATCACTTGTGTACAGAATACCTGGCCAGTATTCTGTCACAAGCAACTTCCAGGTTGGTAACTATAACCTGAATGATTGGATGAATGTGTGTGTGTGTGTGTTTGTGTGTGTGTTTGTATATATATATAAATAAATAAATTATCTTTCCAATAAATGTGGCTTTTTGCCTTATCCCCCCTCATAAGATCCTGCTTGCTTTTATTGGTACAACATGAACGCGCTCTCTCTTTTGGAAGAATTTTTTTTCAGAAGACCTCTTCAGAATAAAAGTTCTGAAAGAAGCCTGCAGTCTAGACCCAGCCTGAGTGAAACATGCTTGTATTATTGTTATCTAGTACTCCCTATCCTGCAATGCCGTTGTTCCCTGTTGTAATTAAGTCTGTAAGCTTCTAGGACATGGACTTTCTTTTTACTACATAATAGCACAACAGGGTTCTAATCTTTGAGAACATCAGGTATCAAATGCGGTCTCTGAAGATTTTAAGCACCAATATTTTCTTCTGAATATTTTCATGTATAAATTCAAATAAAGCAGAAGACTAAAAAACATCATGGTAAATTAGGAGTTAAATTACAGACATTAGAAGAGATTAAATTGCTTTATGTCAGCCAGAGGGTGAAACTGAGTCATGTGTATTTACATATTCAGATGTCACACCCTATTGCTGTACTTGAGAAAACTAGTTAAGTATGATCGTGGAATGCTTCTGGACGGCAGACCTAAAAACCACAGGGTTTTATTAAAAGATGTGGATTACAAAACATTTTCAACTGAATTAGAGAGACATTTTGCCAACTGGATTTAACCTGCAACAATGAAAATATTGGTTTTAGTAATAACTGGATTGCTGTCTGTCCTCAAGTCTACAGAAAAAAGGTAAGCTTCTGGTTCTAGATGTATTTTATATTGTCTGTATATTTTAGCTTATATCATGAGCATTGGGCTTATCTTTTAGATGCTTATGTCAGTTATAATACCCCAACAGCTGATACACAGCATACAAAGTCCCAGCTGAGACAGATTTTGATTTCTCTACTTCATTTATCTTTTATTTCTCCCCAGTGACCCTTGATAGTTTTGCTAATTGATAAAAGGCAACTAACTGGTTTTGTGTTTACTGAAATGTGGTTTTCTGCATAATCTACCTTCTACTACAGTGCTTGTTCCTATAGGGATGTCACTGTACTGAATCTGTGGAATCGCAGCCTGTGCATAGAAAGAGGAAATCATAAATACAGGATTAATGCTTCGTAGAAGGTGCCACTAAAAGGAAAAAACTCAGCTGATGGGGCAAATTTGTATCAAATACCTGGGGGGGATGGAAGGGGATTACAAATCCAAAACATTGGGCCCAATCAGAGTGTCACTAGAATTTGTGGGGAAAAAGACAATGATTTCAGTGGGAGCAGAACTAGTCATTTTCAGAGATAAATTGCTTTTGAATTTATTTAAACATACACTGATACATAAGTCTCTTTAAAGGGAAGTCAGGCCCAGAGATTTGACTAAAAATGATAAAGCAGGGGTGGGGAACCTCAGGCCCGGGGACCTTCATCCAGACTCAGAGGCTCAGGGCTCCCCCAGCAGCTCAGGCCCGGGGACCTTCATCCAGACTCTGAGGCTCAGGGCTCCCCCAGAAGTGAGGAGCCTGCGCTGACACTCCAGCCCCTCTGCTTCCCCACCGTGGGGTTGAGGCACACCAAATCTTCGAGGCTGGACCCCTCCCCTCCCTCCAGGCTCTGATGTGGGAGAAAAACGTGGAGAGTGTCTCTAACTTGTGCACGGACCCTGACTGATTTTTCTGTGGGTCAGTGGCTCCTGCCACAAAAAAAGGTTTACCACAGGGGTGGGGAAGTCTTACTCAAATCCACTTCCTATGCATACACCGTCATGGCTGCCCATTCTAATTGTTTGTAATGTTTGGGCATAAGTATCATTTCCTGTAATTTATTTTTAATCCAGAAGAAATTAGTTATGTCAAGTTAGTATAAAAAAGTACTAGGATTCAAAGATTCATACAGGACTGCTCTATACCTTACATTTTGTTCAGAATTTTGGAGCTAGGATTTTATTATATAGTTGATTAACAGCAAAAACTTCATTATGGCCACAAATTCCAAGTGAAAGATGCAATATAGGTGCAAAGTAGGATCATTGCTGGTTTGCAATGATTGATATTTTAAAGAATTTAGCTGACATGTTTCGAGAACAAAATGTTCCTAGACATTCAAAAAGGTGCATATACAAGGCTGAATATTTTTGCTATGGATATGCCTTTACAAAATTCTCTGATCACCATTACCAGGGTTGTTGACATTATTAGAAGAGGCTAAATATACCCATTAATCTTTGACTAGTATGAGAATGTTTACTTTTGAATACAATTCTGCAAAGCTACAAAAGTGTAATGAATTGTATCATGGTTTCTTCATGCTAACAGGAGGGAATCTGGTCAAAAAGTAAAAAGCTGAAGAAGCTAGCTTTTTTATTAATTTATTTAAAAAGAGGATGAGGACAAGGGTTTTGGAAGTTATATAGGTATTCAAAGATAAAAGTGTAAATGTTTCTATGTGTAGTTCTAATTTGAAAAATGTGTATGTAAAATGGCACCATCTTAAACATATTTGCCTTTTGCATAGTTATATGTACTTGTTTAAGTGACAAAAGCCACTGTATTTTATTCCTGTTTGCACTGCTGAGCCAATACATTTGAGGTCACATGAATCAAGGAATCTAGTCTCTCTCTGCGCACTATCAGCATGGTTTAGCAAATTGAAAAAGATACACCTGTAGTTTTTGCTAGCAGAATTATGGCTATTCTTAAAAATAGGAAAAATCCAGTGGCATATTCAGGGCTGAGAGTCCATTTATAAATAAAATTATGAGGGGTTTTCCTGACCATGTGATATAGAAATCAGAGACAATACCCCACAAAGCCATTTTTATAGACTCATTCTTCAGATTAAAGTTACAGTATTTATTTCTCGGGGGGAGGGGAGGCGGAGAGAGGAGAGAAGGGGGAGAGGGAGATCTGCATCATGACTGCCCCAAGTAAATACCTTGTATTTTAGCTATTTTCTTTTTTTAAATCTTAGAATCTAAATACGGTCGTAACAGCTCTGCAAGTCAAGATGTGCCTGATATTAAGACCTTTCGTGGAATACCACAAGGCACTTATGATTATATTCCCATTTCTGATATACAAGGCTGGACAAAGACTGTTCACAACAAAGAACATAAATGCTCTTCAGGGAAGTCAAATGGCTCAATATTGAAAGTTAACAATACCACAATGGAATACCTTAATAGTTCTTTGAGCACCAAACTAATACCCGGAGCATATATTTTTGTAGTTTTATTAGGCGTGCCATCAAATGCCATCACACTGTGGATGCTGTTTTTTAGAATCAGATCTGTTTGTATGGCTATCTTCTACACAAATTTAGCCATTTCAGATTTTCTATTCTGTATCCTACTACCATTCAAGATTGCATACCACCTTAATGGAAACAACTGGGTATTTGGAGAAATAATGTGCCGAACTACAACTGCCATTTTCTATGGCAACATGTATTGCTCCATTCTATTCCTGATGTGCATCAGTATCTGTCGTTACATGGCTGTTGTTCATCCATTCACCTACAGGAGTCTACCAAAACGAACCTATGCAACACTAGTATGTGGCATTGTCTGGATAACAGTTTTTCTGTACATGCTGCCATTCTGCATAATGAAGCAAAGCTATTACTTGGAACAATTAAATATCTTTACCTGCCACGATGTACATAATGCCTGTGAAACGTCATCACCATTCCAATTCTACTACTACATCTCTTTAGCAATTTTTGGATTTGTAATACCACTGGCCATTATTATTTTCTGTTATATCTCAATTATTCAGACACTTTATACGTATAAGCAGAAGTGGTTATGGTATGTTAAAATAAGTCTCTTGATCCTTATGATTTTTGCCATTTGCTTCACACCAAGCAACATCATTCTTATCGTCCATCATGTTTACTACTACTACTACAAAACAGATAGCTTGTATTTTTTCTATCTTATTGCTTTGTCCCTAAGCAGTTTAAACAGTTGCCTTGACCCATTCCTTTACTATCTGATGTCCAAAATCAGAGAGCAAACCAATGTTTATCTCACAATGGTTAAAATATCCAGGGAAGAATGAATTAAAATTAAATGTCCAATATTTATTATTTTGTGACATCTGAATGTGGTAATTCAAAATAAAAAAATACATTCCATCATTTTATAAATGCTGTCTGTTTAATGAAAAAAGAAGCAGCTTTCATAAGTATCTTAAAATCCCCTTCATTCAAATTTTATGTTAAAAAGGCTTCTATAAAAACAGCTTTGCCAAGTCTTGCACTTTTATCTCAAGTCTTGGGACTGTTCTTGAAACCACAGCTCATGATTGAGGTAAGAATCTGTCTTCACGTATAAAAACAAGAGGTCAGTTTCTAGCCTTTACTGCTATGGAGAAAGGTCTGAAAAATTGAGCCCTAAAGCTTCAACAAAAGAAAGCAAGTAGCACTCCAATTACGTTTTTAAACCAACACCTCTATTTTTGAAAGCTTTCGGTTGGCTGCCCTGAAAATACCTCATGCCGTGATTTATGGTCAATGTATAGCAATAATATAAAGTGGATTTCTACTTTACCCTACTATAGAAACATTTGGCTTTATTACACTTAAAGAGTGTAATAAAAAAGCCACTTACAGTATCCACCACATCCTCTAGAACAGTGGTCCCCAACGCGGTGCCCGCGGGCGCCATGGCGCCTGCCGGGCCATTTATGTGCGCCCGCGGAGCAATCTGGGCTGGCCCCGGCCCCGGGTGCGCCACGCGTGTGGGCGGCAGGGGCCAGCCCCGGGCGCATGGGTGGCTCCTGCCTTGGGGTGATGGCACATGCCGGTGCTGGCCCTGGCCCTGGGTGCGCGGCACATGCCGGTGCCGGCTCTGGGCACGTGGTGCATGCTTGGCTCCGCACCCCAGGCACGTGGGCTGTGAGTGGCCCCACCCCCGGACGCACGGCGCGTGAGCGGCCCCACCCCCAGGCGCCCAGCAGCCCCAAAACGTTGGGGACCACTGCTCTAGGACAGCGGTCTCCAACATTTACACATCCAAGATCACTTTTTAAATGTCAGAAAAAGCCAAACCCCACCCCCTCCTTGAAGTCCCTCCCTCTGTTCTCCTCTCCATCACTTGCTATCCCAAGCCCTTATACACTCTCAGGGTACGAGCATGACCCAATACTGTCTAGACCAGTGTTTTGCAATTTTATTTGGCCACACAACCCTTTTCAGCTTTTCAGAATTTCAAGGAAGCCCTCAAGCAAAAAAAAAAAAAAGAAAGAAAGAAAGCAAAGAGGGGAACCCACCAATGCATGAAAATCACATTCCTTCCCCAAGACCCCACCCCTTTGAGGCCCCATCCTCTGTGAGAAGTACAAGCTCTGGGAGGAAATTTGGATGCAGAAGGGGATGCTGGCTCGGGGAGGGGGCTCCAGGCTGGGCTCAGGTGGAAGTGCTGGGCTCAGGTGGAAGGTTAGAGTGCTGAGCAAGTCACAAGCTTGTGGATGTGAGGGTGCAGGAGTTTGGGTTGGCTATGTGAGGAGCTCAGAGCAAAGAGGCTGTGAGTATGATGGGCTCAGGACACTGATTTGTGATGTGTGGATGGTGCAGGAGTGTTGTGGCAGAAGACTGAGGATGTGGGGATGCAAGAGTTTGAGGATGTAAGAGGCTCAGGATGGGGGCTCCAGTGTATGATAGGCTCAGGTTTTGGGGGGGGGGGGGGTTCAGAAGGGTTATGATGCTGCAGCCAGATGGGGGCTGTGCCCAATTGGGGGTTTGTTGGCCACGCTTCATTTTTAAATGAAATATGTGAAATACAAAATTTCAGCATTGTCTTTATTAATGAGAAGGACGGGGAACCTGTTTTGAGTCAGGGGTCACCGATCCACAGAAAAGTCAGTTGGGGACACACAAGTGAGATGCAAAAAAACCTCCTCCAACTCCCCCACCCCAGCCTCACTAATGTGGCCCCAACTGTGGTAGTGGGAGCAGAGGACATGATACTGGGGAAGAGTGCTAGTGAATTCTGTGGCAGGGGACAGGGTGCCAGTGGGTTCTGTGGCAGGGGCCAGGCTGCCCCCAGCACGCACCTGCTCCGGGGACTCCTCCCCCCCAGAGGAGGGAAGCCCGGTCAGATGCCTCTTCTCAGGACTTCTAACCCCTTGCCCACGCCAAGGAGGAAAGACCCAGCGTGCGCCTCCTCTGGGGATTCCTCCCTCCGTAAAGGAGGGAAGTCCAGGCACGCGCCTCTTCACAGGACTTCTAACCCTCCCCCCTGCACAGAGAAGTGAAGCCCCAGCGCGCGCTTCCTCTACGGACTCCTACCTCCCCGCCACAGCGCAGAGAGTCCCCAGCATGCCACAGACCTGCTTTGTGGTACCATGCCAGCTGTTAGAGGGAGGGGGAGCAGCTTGCGCAGCTGCTGGACTTCCGTCCACCCTGCAGGAAGCTAGCACTACCTCCCTCGTTGCTGGAGGTAGATAGTGGGAAAAGGGGATCTCCGAACGCCTCACGATCAACTGGTCAGAGCTTCCCCATCGACCACTCAATCGCTGGGTTGGTGACCACGGCTCTAGAATCATAGATTAGGGTTGGAAGAGACTTCTGGAGGTTATCCAGCCCAATCTCCTGCTCAAATCAGGTCTAACCCCAACTAAATCATTCCAGCCAGGGCTTTGTCAAGTTGGACCTTAAAAATCTCTAAGGATGGAGATTTCACCACCTCCTTAGGTAATCCATTCCAGTGTTTCACCACCCTCCTAGTGAAATAGTTTTTTCCCCCCATATATAAATGTAGAAGTCTAGAAGACTTACCCAGCAATGCTCGTGTCCTTTAGGTCAGGGGCAGGTGTGTGTGGGGACCTGGGGGAGGGTATGCATGTGGGAGCTCACCAGGGCCACCCACAGCGATGAGGACTATGTTGCAGTTGCTGCCCTTCCTGCTCCTCCTGGGGGTGGGGAGAGGAGAGCAGCAGGTCCTGACCCTGGCTGCCAGATCTTGGTGGTGGCGGTGGTGGGGGAGGGAGAGAGGGAGAAGGGGAGTCCTCCAGGGGTGGGGGATGGGGTTGAGGTTGCTCTGGACAGCAGGGTTCCTATCCCTCTTCTGGTGCTGTGACCTAGGGCCAGGAGGAGGAGGCTACTTATTTGGGCCAGTAGACAGCAATATGGCTAGCCCTGGCTCCAGCTAGCCACTTTTCCTGGTGCGGCCAACCCCCCTGTAGTCATTCTGCAGTATAACTGTCCGCAGCGCTTGCTATCCCAAGTAGCCATTGCAGAGCATAGCTGTCCTCTCATCCCCTCCCTTTCTGTGCAATAGAAAACTAATCAAATTCCAGGTACATCCCATTTTCCTGCACAATCAAGCCCTGACCTTTAAGTTAGGAGAAGAGGAAGCTAAATATAAATTTGAATACCCTAGCTCTTACCCTTAGGAGATGTTCTTGAACAATGGATTGATGGATGGACATATGCACAAATTCTCTAAAGTTATATTATAATCTGTTGTCTCATTGTATTAGAGGTTTGTTTTCCTATGCATGAAGTTTCCCTGTGTACTCAAGCTGTATCAATGACTCCCACTCAAGATTGAAGCCAATATCAAGTGAATGCAGGCCCTTTATAATTTTTTTTTTAAATAGAGCAGTATTTTAAACACATTGTGCTGGCCTTTAAGAAATTTCCTGTTCTTTTAATCTATGTGTATGTTAAGATTGTGTCATCTGCAATATTTGCATGTACTCCCTATGCTTACAGGAAATACCTTGAGTATTAGAAATTCTAAGACTTTCTAGTGCTTCGTTATCTATGTTAATTGGCAAGTTGAATGGTATATATGGTTAACTTATAGAAGTTTATGAAAAGTTCAAAATTTACATTATAGCAATAATACAGAGTTAAGGTTCTCACAAGATTAAAATACATCCACATATACACTTACTTCTGACAATCCATGGGATTTTGTTCAGGTAGATCCTTATATTTTCTTGACATATGTTAGCACCATTTTGAGATAAAACAAGTTTTTAAATTTTTACATACTGAAAAATGTCTTGCAAAAGAGTGCAAGAGACCTTAGACTCCAATAATGCCTCCATACAATAGGAGTCAAAGCTATTTAATTTTAATTACAGCACTATTTTCATTAAGCTTGAGTGGTAAATATATTTTAAGAGGAGCTTCAAAAATAATCCAGATGCCACAAAAATTTCACTGAAGAGATTAAAAACAAAAATTTTCATGATCATTTTGATTACATGAGACTTAAGTTTATATATTTGCCAAGCCTGAATAGATATTTATTTATAAAGTGTAAGATCTTTGGTTATGATTCAAGATAGCTACAGTACCTTTAAACAGCACAGTCTCTATGGCTATGTCTAGACTGCAGAGTTTTTCCAGAAGGGAAAAAACTCTGCCACATCCAGGGAATGTGTCCGCTTTTTCAGAACAGTTTCCAAAAAAGTGGGCACATTCTTTCGGCATCCCTGTATTCCTCATTTTATGAGAAATAAGGGATCTTCCAGAAAAGGAGGTTTTCCCCCCGCATTTGGCCCCCGTGTAGACAGGACAAATGTTGGAAAAGACTCTTCCCCTTCACCCCCCTCCCCCCCCAAAAAAGCAGAAAGAGGTACACAAATTGTGGTTCGCAATTTGCATATCTTTTTTCTGAAAAACCCTGCAGTGTAGACATAGCCTATACTGTAAGCAGAAAGGTGATGCAATAGTTTGGAATGGCTTCACAAAAACAGAACAAACACCTACCACAGATTCCAAGTATTATAATCAGCTTTTTAGTAAAGTGGATTTATGGAAAAACTAGATTAAACACTGTGTTCATGACAATGGAATGGAGGAGACCAGGGCTTCCGATGCATAGAAAAAACCCGAGGTAATTCAGACCCAGTTTCAGTTTAACTGAGCCACTAAAATCAGGGTGAAATAAGTCTCAGAATGCTAAGGACAAGCAGTCCTTGGTGTCGTCTTATGTCTATCACCCCACATAAATAAGACATTACACTAGAACTGTGGTTCAACCTATTTAGTATTGTGGGCCGCATATTCAGCTCACAATTGTTACTTGGGCAGCACGCACAGAACTGCAGTTCCCCTCCAAAGCACCCTATGTCCAGCATCCCCCTGCCCAATGACCCCTTCAGAGACCCAGGCTAGGAATGGAGCCTTGGGCACCAGCTGGGGTCTGAGCTATACAAGCAAACCCAGCACAGGATCGGAACACTCAGTCTGGGGCCAAGAACCGAGCCCCATGTAAAACCTTTGATTGCTACAGCATCCATACAAACCCCCTACTTTCCACACTACGCTGCTCTGCAGCCCCATCCCTCACTGCCCAGAGCCCCCTGCAAAAACTCCCCAGAGACCCACCCTCTCACACACTACCTCCTGGCAGCACTCATCAGTGCCTCACCAGATACTATCTTCCCTTCAGCAAGTCCCGCCCTGTCTGACCAGAGTGGCAAATTTTATTTTTTTAAAAAGACAGCTGGACACTTTATCGGGCTGCATGGAGCCTGTGGGTTGAGAACCACTGCACTAGAGCAGGGCTGCTGGACACAAGGCCCGTGGGCCACACGTGGACTGCAGCCTGTTTATGGCCCACCAACTACTGCACTAGAGCAGGGCTGCTGGACACACGGCCCGTGGGCCACATGTGGACTGCAGC